TTCGAGGCATATTGTCTCTTGTGCATGGTGGTGGTGCATTGCGTAGGTTGTTATACCTGCTGTCAGATCAGATGAATCCCCCCTCTTAGTATGCTGCAGGCAATTCACATCTGAATCATTTTTTTCCACTGATTTCTGACTTGGTTCGGTGATCGTTTCTCTAAGGAATTTGTGCATACTGTTTTAAATTAAAAGCAAAATTGTCTTAATGCTCCTAATTGTCTTCAAAGTTCAAAGTTTTAAGTGAAAACATTTCCAATCCACCTAATCAACTTTTGTTCCATGGTGATCATTTCCAGTTATTTTTACTACATACTTTGTCAAACATGTCTAAATCACCAATATTGGATCAGGCAAACCTTATATACAATTTTGCCAGTAACATAATAAGCTTGTTTTAACTGAATCCAAAAGTTTCCCTATACATAAACATATCTTTTTTTTTTTGTTTCAAATAAGTTTTATTGAGTTTTCACAGAAGTACAACGTGGAGACAATAAAACAGTAAACAACAATCGTCAACCCTCACCGGGTCAACGTGCATTTCCATTCAAACAGTCTCATAACAGTGAAGGTCTTGGTATGGAAATGTCAGGTAGGAGACCAGGAGATGGGTTGGAAAGAGGATTTTTGGGTGCGGGTGGTAAGGAGCTCCGGAGTTAAGCGGCCATCTTGCGTGCCGCGGTAGCCACCATAAACATATCTTTTTCAGTGGTTTACGTGAAGGTGAATCAGAACACAGACCTTCCGGCCTGTATAATAGGAAGTTGCAGAGAGCAAAAATTGCTGTGGAAAATGTGGTGACCTAGAGGAAAAAGATTTCCAGCAATCACAAGAATGAGATGAGATTACTGAGTGGTTCTGCATATTATTGTACATTGAGCTCTGCCTTACTTGATCCATCTGATAGTCTGTATTCAGCAGTAGAGATGAGGTTCCGGTTCAGAACAACCTTGGCTTTGAGGCAGATCCCCAGGTTTCACAAAACTCAAAATTGTTGGCCGAAATGTCCCACCTGAACGCATAATGCACTGCATAACCTTTGTTCATGGTCAGATTCCAGAGCGCAGGCATATTGCATATCAGGCAGTTGGGAGGCAAGTTGTGTTGCTGCTTAATTTCAGCCAGGCAAACACTGCCTGAGTATTATTGCCTGAAGTGGCCGCACATTCTTCTGACTTGCTGCAGGACATCCTGGAAGCCAGTGTTCCTAACTAGGAATCACTGCACCACCAGGTTTAGGATGTGTGTCAGGGAAGGCACATATGAAAATTTCCCTGCTGAAGGGCAGACAGCAGGTTGGTACAAGATGGTGTGGTGTCAGCCACCTCTGGGCCTACCTCTGAAAAGTGAGAAAGAAAAGAGAGAGAATCTCAGCCCCATATGGCTCCTGTCCCCAAGGCATACCAGCTGCAAAACAGCATAGCATTGTTTAGTCTGGGCCATTGCTCAGGTTCTTGGTTGCTTTGGTGGGACTAGTAGTTCTGGCAATTCACCGGATGAGGCAAATGAGGAAGAGGGAGTGGAGGTGACTGAGCTGTCACTATCACTAAGTGGCACGACACAGGGTGGTAAAAACAGTTCCAGAGGTGTGTCCCATCCTGCATCCTTCCTAGCTGCCAGTAAATGTACCCAGTGCACTGTGAGGGAGATGTAACGTTTCTGCTCATGCTTGCTGGACAACGTGTCTGCGGTCATGTGGATCCTGCCACTGACTGCATGCTCCAGTGACATGGAAACATTACCTTCTACATGCTAATGGAGGGCAGGGATGACCTTCTAGGTGAAAGAATTGAGGCTGGGTATCTGTCACTGGGGTACAGCAGGGTTAGCAAATTTGTGGCAGGGGACAGACTCCACTAACTGGAATAGGAGCAACTGTAAAGCCAGCAATGCTTCTCAGCTGGTATGGGGATGACTGGGTGAATATTATTTTCTATGCTGCAGCAGCTGAGGAGGAGACACTTGCCTGGTCAAGAATGTAGCTGGAGATGGCAGAGTTGGGTTAGGAGACTTAGAGTGCAAGTTGAAGACTATGCCTGGCCCTGCTAAGCATTTTCCCATGCTGACCCTTTCCCACTTGATTTGCTGTAAGTTATGCCTTCAAACTGCTTGCATGATTTCCATCTCTAATGCCTTAAACCACAGATGCCATTGGATATTCTTGTGAAGTGGCAGAAGAATTGGGAAGGGAGGAGCAAAAAGGAGATGAATTGTGGGCCTTTTGCTGCCAACTGGTATCATTCATGCGTTGCTCTAACCGAGCTTTGTGGTGAACAGTCATGTTTCTACTCATGCATGTGGTGCCCAAATGACTGGTACTTTTACCATACTTGATACACTACAGGAGAGGCTGCAAACCACTTTAGTGCAGTCTGAAATACACGTGTGAAATAAGGCCAAGACTGCTCAGCCCTGGGATTCCAGTGTCCTGCACCTGTGGAGCAGTGCCATTTGGTAGAATAGGGAGGCTGCTTCCTCAACTTCTCTGCAAGCTCGCCCTGGACTACATCCTGCCTTACTGATCTTGTGCCTCTCCCTCACTTCTTTACAATCTCAGGTACCCAGGAATTGCCTACCAGGTTATTATCCCCACTGGTCTCCTCACTTGAGACCACTGGGCAGTAAGCTGCAGCAACATTACTGGCAATTGTTTCACCCTGCCTGATGTACTCTCGCTCTAAGTTCCTGGAGTTGTCTTTCTCTACATCTGATAAACTTAATTCCAGTGCATCCTCCTGCAGCAAGTTTCTGGTGGTATACTCAGATAATTCAGCTGACTCCTCAATGCCAGTTTGCAGGGCAATGGCAGGGTTAGCTGTAGAAGAGAAGAAGGCTAATTTGCAGCTGCTGATTACACAGTGCTATCCTGCGCCTGGGAGAATGGGGAGGAGGATGATGAAGGCTTGGTTATGCACTTCACCACCTCCTCCATGTGCTCTGGCTGTATAGAAATCTCACTGCCAGAAAAGAAGGGCAAATGTGCCCTGCCTCTCAAAGGTGTGATCTAACCACCGTTTTGGCCTGTGGATGCAGAACCTGCTCACCCCCTAATAACTGTGCATTATGAACCTCTGCCTCTCCCTTTACGCCTCCCACATGTGATGTAAACAGATGATTACTTAATTTTATTACCAGCTACGGCAATAGGGTAATTGTGGATATGGCATTTTGGTGCAGAAATTTAGTCCTAAAAAGGGCTGCGGTGTTTATCCACTCTCAATACAATGGGTGGGATACGCCGCAATGCAATTCACTGCAATGGCACACTGAACAGCACATTGAATATGGGAGGGAGTAGCCTTACCACACTGAAATGCCCTGTAATGAAGCTATGGCACTGTAGAGTACTTTATAGAGCACTGCATAGCAATCCCGATCTCTCCCTGAAATTGCTCCTAATGTCAGCAGTCTATATCTACTCCAGCTCTAACACACACTGGAAAAAAAAGAGATAGGAGGGGGCAGGCAAAATTGCAAACCCCCTTACTGGCCAGACAACGCCACCTGACCACAGTCCACATGTCATGCAATGCATTATAGGGGTTCACTTTTGAAAACAGCGACGAACCCTGCATCACAGCAAACCCAACCTCATCCCTATTAGTTATCACTTGTTAGGATCTACATGATCATTATTAATGACGCTGTGCCTATTTCATACATATAGTAGTTGTGTCTTACCAGTGTTCTTCTGGAATTAGTGTCCTCTCTTTGTATTTAGTATAATTTACTTTAGCATGAAAAGAATCATCTACCTGTGGTATGGGGCACCTGGTAATATAAATAGAGAACCATGTTATCATAGGATTTGCATGGCTTGAGGACCCTCAGTGCAGTTTGAAAACATATTTACCAAAATGCAAACTGATACGTCATGGCATTATAGTGTTTAGCTTTTCTGGGCGAGGATATTTACTTTGAATATATGTCATTTATGCCCACCAGGCCAGCTGTTATTAGATTGTGTACACAAGTGGAACCAGTGGCTGCCTATAAGCGCTCTTTAACCAATAGATTTCTATCTTTTTATTTAGTGTTTTTATCATGAGCTAACTGGAGGGTGCTCTGGAACTGATCTAGGTAGACACACACAGACCTGTAGAGCTGTTTTTGCTTTAGGTGTATGTAAACATAAAAAATGTTTGGCTTAAAGTGTCCAGTAAAATGGAACCCTATTTTGTACTACATACAGTATATACATTTTTTGAAGGTAAGGCATAGATCTAAAAGTGTAACCCATAAACATATTTAGCTCATTGTTTCGGAAGCTATTAGAGCTGCTGAAACATTAATTGTCTGATCTCCTAAATCAGAGTCCCCAATTAATGTGTTGTCTGTGCCCATCCCATTTTAAGGGAACATGTGAAATACAGAGACTGTCATTACTGACCTCCTTCTAAAAATGCTAGTTGCTCAGTTGTCCCTGGCTGCATCCAGGGTTGTACACCCATATGAACGCGCAGGTTTAAGCAAGTAGCATCATAAACCCATATACAATCGCTTACACTTATACACTACTATGGGCAGCTGTACATTGCAGCTGGTTAAGACGGGAGCACAAATACACCCGCATTTTATGATTGACGGAGTCATTCACTCATGTACACGAGACCTAAGAAGACTCCCTTTGGTTCACAGGAGCAAAACTATTGTTCCTTATTCAGATCTGCTCAGCTAAGACATGAGGTAAGCAGTGACTACATGCCGGTCTTACAGTTAATGGTAAACCCATAAAAAGCATTTATTTTTACAGAAAGGATGGTATGAGATTTCATTTGGATTGCTGTCTATGGTTAATCTGGATGTAAAAGGTGCTAAGTGGAGTTATTCTTTATCTGCACCATAAACCGGTCCTACATTATAGGAAATTAACCACATTTACAATTAGGTGCACAAATATGGAAATTTAATGTAGGCTGTAATCTTTCTGTACAATCACCAGCAGGCATATGCATGTCATACATGTGAGGACACATTTTTAAACCGAATGACAAGTCTTTATTCTCTTATATACAAAGTACCTAAGCAAGGTCCAGACAGTGCAGTGCATCACAGATTAGGACAGCCTAAGTACTGTGTCCATATTATTGCTGTATATAGGAAACCACAATTTTCCTTATCTTTATGTAATACTTGTGGCCGTAAGCATATATACATAGTATGTATAAAGTGGGCAAAGTGAAATAAAATATTATGAAATATGAAACAATAAAGCTTCCACAGAAAGCATTAACTCATATACTTCATTAACATATATTTGTATACACCTATAATCCTATTAAATAATATATACTTATATATAGATTACATATTTACATGGGCTTTTTACAATTAATTTAATAAAACAAATGCTATTGATAATAAAGTATCTCTGAGGAATGCCCAGGAGGTCTTCGCATGCACAGCACTGCCTTCCTGCAGAGTCATCAATAATATATAAAGTCAATGGGAGATAGTCTTCAGATTTTTGTCTCTGGTCCTTCTGTAGTAAGGGGCTGGAAGGAGGTGCGAATCCGCAATGCTTCTGCTGCACAGATGTGTCCAAAGCATTTGTTATACCAATCCAGACAATGGCCCCTGAAATAAAATGGAGAACATTTCATCAGACTCTGCAAATACACCAGGATAGATAACTCAATACCAAACCGATTTAGAATGTAAATGGAAGTTGTCAGGGGTGCAGTATAGAAGCTGCCATTGCTGACTTGGTTTTGATGGTACAAGTTTAGGACTGTCACTCTTATCTTGGTATTTTCCTGTACATGGACCCAAAACAAGCAGGCAGCACATTACCCTATATTCACATACTTATTCCAGTTCATTGACTTTAATAAACAAAGGACCAGAATGGGAGCTGCTTCATTTCTGTCCTGACAGATTTCATTAAGGCTGCCATGCCATGAACCATCATGCCTGGGAGACTGTGCTTATATGGTGCAGAAGGCAGGCCTTAAAGCCAAACTCCGGGCAGAAGGATAGTATTAGTGGGGATTAGACAGACCTTCACAGGTCTGATCATCTAGGCTGCCTCCAGGGTCTGCAAAATGAGTTTCTTTGCTCAATTGATTAGTACAGCTCCAGCTGTATTTCTGGGCAGCTTGGGAGGTAGATGCTCTGGGTCTCCTAGTCCTTAGTGCTGCGGTCACATCCTCGATCCCTACTTCTGGTTAATCCAAAATCAAAGGGCTCCATTTTGTGATTGGCTAGAAGGAGAGGGGGTTGGGAATGTGACGACAGCACTGAGGTCTATGAGACCCACCGTGCTTGCCTCCCGATCAGCCTGAAAGTACAGCTGTACTAATCGGGTGAGTGATGAAACTCGTTTTTCATCGTTTTATTTTCAAACTGTCCTCCTGCCTGGAGTTTGTCTTTAATATCTACTTTTAAAAAACACCAGAACCTTTAACAGTTAATGACTATTTATCATTTTAATCCCTAACAGCATATTTACAGCACAATGTTTGGCAGCCTGTTAGGGCTGTGTGCCAGGTGTGTACAGGACGTAATGGTGACACATGTATTTTTTTATGAACTTTGGGGTCCTGCATATTGCAGTTGTACTAAATTCTGTACAAGCTAAAGCATAAAGAGTTTGGATTGTTTGCGATGGTTGCTATTACTTAACCTTTTCTTCCTTAGGAACTTCCTTAGGAACTTCCTTAGGAACTTTTTTTAATGTTAACCCCCTTGTAATTGGATTGTAGTACCCTCTAGAGACACTGGATATCCAGCAATCAGCTTTTTTTTTCAAAAGGTTGCTAGCAGCCAAAGCACTCAGAACATATTGGCAGGGTGTAAAATGGAACTGGTAATTCAAATGCAGCCTTTAACATACAAAATAAAGCCCAGAAAATGTCGGTTGTACACAACAACTTTAAAACCAGTAAAAAATGCAGCTGAAATCTGATTGGTCATCATGGCCAAAACATCCATCTTTTTCTGCAAGCATTATTTACACATGAGGCCACTAAATCTTGTAAAAAAAGAAAAAGAGGCAACAAAAAAAACTTACTTCAGGTCAACTCTGCAAATATGGGTGAGTCTGGACTTTCCAGAGCCACAGGGTTCAATCAGATAACGCGTGTCCAGAAGTGCTGCTCTAACTCCACCAACGAGAGGGGTGTCCTCATGCTCTACAGACATAGCCACCAAACTGCACATACCCTTCGCCAAATCCGTTCTCCACGTCCTAAGATGGAAGATTTATTATGTCAGGCTATATCATAAGAAACTGTGCCATAACTCGCAGAATCGCAATCTTAGCTTTCATCAGTTTAGTGCTTTCACATAAAATGAATTCTGAACCTCTGTTTCCCTTTAAAATAATTAGAACAGAAGGTGAATAATGTTTCATTTACAGTCAGATAAAGTATGTGTGTATACTGTATTCAACAGAGGGCAACATGGAAAAACGTGTTCAGGTTTATATTCCTGACTTTGATCTCAAGCTTTTCTGTTGAGGTCAGCAACTTGATCTTAGGTTATTAAAGGAGAACTATGAGGTGAGTGCTTTTCACTCACCTCATAGTTCTAGCCGACCTGTGACAATGAGACTGTCACAGGTCGGCTCAGTAGATCGGGAAGTGAGCGAACACATACCGGCGTTCGCTCACCTCTCGATCCTGTCACGGCTCTCTGCCGTGACAGGGGAGTGGCTGGATTCCCCTCTCCGATCTGCCAGCGCTGACTGGCGGAACGGACGGGGGAGGGGGCAGGTACAGCTGGCTCTGCCTCTAGATAGGCAGAGCCAGCTGTCACTCACGCAGCTGGGCGGAGCCAAACATAATTGTCAGGATCCGCTTCAGCTGCGGCATCTCAGTATACCGCAAGCTGTAGCTCGCGGTATACTGAGCTTAGGGTAACGGGAGGACGCTAGTTTGTGTCCTCCCGTTACCCTAAGGAGAACTATGGGGAAAAGCCCTAACCCCATAGTTCTCCTTTAAATAGGGTGTTCAGTTATTATTTTTTAGGATGTACTGCAAAGACACACTGATCTGCTTAACAGCATTGTCCTAGGACTGAACATCCCCTTACTGCACTGCTCGGGCCACTTTAGCCTGTCATATGCTATAAAGTAAAGGCCTGTCTTATGTCATTAGCATAGGGACAAATAGCAATGCATGTTTATAAGTGTGCAGGTCGATTGGTCATTATGGTATGCACATTTGCGTCTTAATACCAAGTGTGGCAAAAGATTCCAGCAAACCCAATCATTTTTGCACTGGAGGGTGCTATTTCTTCTGACGGAGTTGATAACTTTTTATGATATCTAAATATTAATAGTAATAATAATAGAAACCATATAAATATAAGAATAATTGTATATACTTCAGCCCTACAGAATTAGTCAGCTCTGTATAGCTGAGTGAAATAAATACATAAGTAGGATGTATAATGGTCACATTGTTATCCCAGGCTTTCCTGAAGGGCTACTGGAAGTTTAATCTAAGACCAGTGTATGTATAAAGACATTAAGTGTCACAATTAGCTTTTTATATCTACTCTCAATAAACTCAGTTTAGCTTAACATACCTTAAAACCACGAAGTCCTTAGAAGGATGGGGAGCCATGCTATTAACAACATACTGGTAAACTTCTGTTTGGTTATCAACAGTTTTGATGATCTTTCCCTGCAGAAAATCATCGTCCCATAGGTGGCGCTCTCTTAATAATCGGTTTAGCACAACGGGTGGAGGGGCTTCCAACTCCACTGACACCTTCCAGAGGCGCAGAGGATTTCCATCTCCAACCTGAAGAATCAGAAAAGTGATCAGTACACAAGCAAAAGGAAAATGATAAATAAATAAAAATGTTGGCGACTGCAATTTCAATTTTTTATTTTTGCATTTAATTACTGTGTGTCGCACATATAGAAAATGTATTAATATAGTCTGTACCTTTTTGTAAGCCACGTCAGTGTTCTCTGTGCTGGAAAGGGAGACCCATCCTTTAAACTTATCCCTGGCTTCTTTCTGAAGGCTCTGAATGACATTATCAAAGTAGACAGAGATGTTCCCTGACTCCTCTTCCAGCTGCTTCCCCAGTTCCTCCATAGTGGAAAGATGCATATCAGCATCTAAATAGGAATTCCGTGACTGTGCTATAATCTCATGTGGAACCTGCAACATCACAAAAAAGACTTTCATTTTAATGGAACAGGAATGGAATGAGTAGCAGTTCAGTAACTGTATAAACTGCCACGGTTAGGCTATCATTCTCAGTGCCCAGGTTATTATCATAACATAATACTCATCATATAGTATAATAATATACTTAACATATAAAAATATAATTGCACAGTAATGGTAAATTCACACTGGGTGTTGCCATTTTGAATAGTAAATGCCTATACACACAGTAGCTAAGAGCATGAGACTTTATGCAGGTCCGATATATGAATAGAAGGCACCAGGCAATTGGTCTTCTACAGTTGGTTATTTGGTTGGTTGGTTGGTTGACAATAAGGAAGTGAAAATGTCAACCCTGTTTTAGTCTTCAGTACAACACTGTGTCCATGCTCAACATGTAACAGATTATCTATAATTCATGTAGTATTCAGTGAGGAACAGTTGCCAGAGCTGCCCACGTGACCATAATTGGGTCACACTACAAGGACGTGAGCTCAGCACCAGATTCCACCAATCCACTGACACCAAATGTATCTGAAATCCACACATGGATCTATTCTGAGTAGTGGGGTAGGTAAATCCTGGCACTCTCTCTCTTCTGTATTTCACCCTATGCAGGTAGCATACACTCACCTCAAACAATTTGTTACATTCCATGATCATGTGTGCCAGGCCCTGTGTAGCAGCCAAGTTCTCATTCAGATCCTTCTGGTCCGGTTTTCCGGTTGCATATTTTTTCTGTATGGCCCTGAAAACAGAAAAGTGGTTAAGGTTAGAGAGTAAGCTTCTGTTCTAAATTAGAACCATATCTCATGTCAATGCTGCAACTGCAGACAACTAATCCAGTGAGGGCTCTAGGATCATTGTGCTGATCATTGTGCTGCACCTACTCATTTGGCCAGGCTGGGCTGTGCCCTGGACCACCCTGCTTTGTATAACCACAGTGTTGTGTGCAAGGACCTAACTGTGATGTCTGGCAGGAATATGAGGATAACAAGACTGGATGAACAAAATAACAAATCCTTTGGCAGGTAAAGAAGTGTGCCTATATGCATTTCAATTATGTATTTAGAAGTTTCTTTTCAGGTTTGCTTTAAAAATATATTATTATATATGACTGCAATTACATAAATGAGAGGTGATTGCATAGAAGCAAATTATTTAAATGCAATTCCTTAGGTTTATGTACTGTATAAATTCTGCAAGAAAAACAAGTCTATCACAAGTATAATAATTATACAATTATCTAAAATAAAAAATATGTCAATAAGTAAGTAAGGCAACAAAAGTAACAACCTTGGCGAATTGTCTTTCCTCAGTAAATTGAGGTGGAACAGAGATGGTGCCAAACAGACGGCGAGATTCATGGGGGTCATCTGATTCTCTTCCACTGAGCTAACGTCATTAAGGAAGCACAGTAGCGTCTGAAGGACTTCACGATTCTCATCTGACATCAGCATAATGGCCGACTGCACTGCCTGAAGCCTTTGGTCCTTGGGGACATCTGTGGAGATTTAAAGGACATTATTATAGTCATAAATAATAGTGTTCAGAATCAGCACAATAGTACAGTGTAAGCGCAACACAGGAAACACACTGCCCCCAAGTGACACCATCAGAAGCTTTCTGACGGGAAACCTTCCTTTTTAATTTAAACTGCAGAGCACAAAATAGAGCCACAAACACATATAATGATTTTAAGGGCAAGCTTCATGTCATAGACAATAACATTTTCATTACATAAACGCTTGTTATAATAAACCTGTAGCTCTCCACATTCATTCCCCACTGGCAGCCATTACATGGGAAGTGCATCATTTACATTTTATCCTCATGGTGGTGGAAAAGAGTTGTGCTAAAATTCTGCACAAAACCCGTGTAAACGTATTGTGGCCCTGTGCACCACAGAACCAGCAGAGGGGCATTGCAGATGTGAACAGTCACATTTACAGACATTATTGTAGGTAATTCACTTTAATTACTGCTATCCTTTATGCATGTACATGAAAAAGGCGGTCAGACGTCACTGCCTGAAAAAACTGTATTCACATAATTGTTGTAAATGTGACTTGGTATCTTGTTGGCATTTAGAAGTCAACCTGGAGCCAACAGTAGTTTACATATGAAAAAGGTACCAGAAGAATGACACCCAGACGCTGTGCCATTTGACACTTCTTTTGTTATGCAAAAGGTTAATTAATGGTGATCTGTACAGGCTGTGATGTGTAGACATCAACCTTAATATATCAACAACTAGAATTCACATAGTATAGCTGTGAGCACAAATTAAGATATTTACTTAATGCTTGGCATGTGGTATGGAACTGGTGAATGGGGTCATAGACTGTGATTCTTTTTTTCTTTCTTTTTACAGTCTCTGGTCGGTAATAATTAATATACAGTACAGGTGAAACTCGAATAATTAGAATATCGTGCAAAGTTCATTTATTTCACTAATGCAACTTAAAAGGTGAAACTAATATATGAGATAGACTCATTACATGCAAAGCAAGATAATTCAAGCCGTGATTTGTCATAATTGTGATGATTATGGCTTACAGCTCATGAAAACCCCAAGAACCCCAAATCCACAACCTCAAAAAAGTAGATTATTACATGCAATCAATAAAACAAGGATTGTACATAGAACAATATCGGACCTCTGAGAAGTACAAGCAAGTACTTGGTTTGGGCCCCTTTTGCAGCACTTACTGCAATTATTTTTGCACGATATTCTAATTATTCGATTTTCACCTGTATATGCTGGGAAAGTCTTCCATTATAAGGAGACATGAGGGTTTCAAAACAGCAAACAACTAAATTAATGGAAATGTGCTAAGAAGGGGTGCCCAGCTAGTGGCTCTGGAACCACATGTGCCCCTTTAGGTACCCTAGCCATTCGTTTTAGCTCAGTAACTATCCTTCTGCTGCTGGTACTCACAGACTCCTTATGACCACACACACACACACAGGTTGTGTGCCTCTCTCTTTCAACATCAGATATAAACATAGATGTCATCAGCAAACCAGCACACACATTTCACGTCAGTGCAAATTCATTTTATTTATAGTTGTCATAACAATAAGCACTTTTGGGGCCGCGTAGGATCCCCTTCATCAGGCTGAAAAATGACACATAAGGATAAAAAATGATGAAGGGAACCCTACGTGGCCCCGAAAGCGCTTGTTGTGACGTCAACTATCAATAAAATGAATTTGCACTGACGTAGAGTTTTCATGCTGGTGAACTGATGACATCTATGATTATATATGTATTCTGAGCGGCACCTTCTGCGGTCATCACCCGTTTGTTTTTTTTGGATATCCGGTCAGGAGTGCAGCAAGGTATATGGACATTGTTCTCTTTCAACATCAGCCTTTCTTTTACTTGTTGATGGGACTCCAGAAAAAGGACTTATCAGTAGTTAAAAGAGGCTGATGCTGATGCCCCTGGAAGGCATGGCAAGGCAGTGTCTCAACGAAGAGTGACAGCACAAAGGTCATGAGGCCATGAGTATGTGAGGCTAAGAAGTTTGTTAAGGAGTCTTACATGAGACCACTCTACGTTAGTACCCCCGTGTGCTGATGTTTGGTGGTGGTCATTTACCATGGAGTGTGGCTTTATTCAGTTAATAAAGTGTCACTTGCTAAGGCAACATTCTATGGGGATGGTAGAAGACTGTACTGAATATATGAGTCCTGAATTTTAGATGACTGCATATTGAATGGAAGGTCCTTTGCAAATGGATCTAATGAACCACATGAATGCTTTCAATTTAGATATCTACAGTACAATTAAGCTTCCTCTATCTTCATAATCATCAAAGTCTATAGACTATGCTAGACTATACAAATCATAACTGAGAGCAAAAACAATGAAAAAAAAGAATCATGAGTCACTAGTCTGAGTCACTTTCACTGTCAATGGCTCTTATACTCCTGAGTCAACACAAACTTACGTCTCATGTCTGAGTAAGACAAGATAAGAATGATGGTTAGCATTGTAGACAACTTTTGTTTCAAAAAACAGACAAGTGTATTATAAATGTGATAAATAATTATATTTGAAGCATGGAATGGTCCTTCAGCCTCAAGGAAATCTGCATACAATGCCAAGCACTACCATTAAACAGGAAAAGAGAATGGGTCTTGCCCATTAGTCATTTGTTCCTAATGAATTAATATATTATTATTTAGTCTTGCAAAGCCTTGGCATTTGCTTGCACTGCTTATCAGACATCTATTAGAATGTTGGGACAATAGAAGATCGAAACAATAGGCCATTCACATTGATAATTGCTGCTGCTCATGTTTTCCAAGTAGTAAGGGAGCACCGTAAACTAATTTATACTATCTCGGGGGCTGCCTGATGGACCATAGCTTATAACTCGGGGGTGTACAATATATCATAGAATTCAGAAGCCAGTCTGTCCAATCATGAAGCCAGCAAGATTTTTTAAGTGCTAGTTCCATTGACTACAACTACAGTAAACCTCAAAATGTAGGCACCAGCTGTAATGTTTTTAAGTGGCATTGGCTACCTGGCTCCTGGGATTTGTCCAGCCCTGTTATAACTAGAAGTCATCCAATCTCCCCTTTGAACAATGCTAAGCTTGAGTTGAGCTTATAGGGTGTGTCCAACATCTTATCCATGACTCCCTTCCAAAATACCAGGGCAAGTGGGAACCTTGGCTATATCATAGATATCTGCTATAGGGTAATTGAAATTAAACTATTGTTTTATAATACTTTGTACTGTGCAAAAGAAACCTTTTTGCAAACAAAAATGTAAGTAACAAGAATATTTATAATGGTGTACAATAAACTATCAGCTGCAGACTGATATGTCTCTTGTGAAGTTTTGAATATTTTGCTTATTATGGGGAAGTGGAGAGTTCTTCCACTTACAAGACTTAGACCTTTAGAATGCCTCAGTTTACAGCCCCATGAGACTCCTACTGCCTCCATCAAGTCACTTGTTGTCCTGATAGTTTTGGCAGTACACAAATCTATTAGTTGAGTCTAGAGACTGATCACTTACACTGGTAGATGTGTAGGAAGGTCTCTCCCAGTTTGCTTGTGAGAAGGGGCTCTGGAAGGTCACGGAAGAACTGTTTCACCATGTCCGCCACATCGTACGCACACTGGTCCTCATAGTTTACATTCTCTGGACAGTTCTCATTCATCTGGCGTAGGGCCTGGATTCGAGACTTAACACCAGATTTTCTAAACAAGCCAACCTGTGGAAAAAGTAAACCTTATCCATTACCATGTCATCCAAGCACAATATACTAGTTGGCAGCATTTATCTTCAGCAGTAAAGAAAAAAAACAATACTATAAGTAAATATGCTGATGAGGGTCGGACAGAGTGCGCTCATACAGCAATTTACAAGCGTTTGTAAGATCATTGTTAGAATTTTCATTTCCAAGCCTATGTATTTCAATGTAAAGGTTTCAGGTAGCAAAGAAACTTCATGATCAGAAAGGAAAAGGAAGGTGGACAGAATTAAGTTGCCCATAATTTTACTGATATTCCTAAATTGCACCGAACAGTTTTCATGAGTGAATTCTAGGAACATAGCTGTATGTTTTTACAATTAGTACAATAATCCAAATCTATTGTTTTCTGGATTATTAATTTATTAATTATATTAAGACATTTTGTAACTGTACCTTTCCATGAAAATAAAGCTGTGCTGAGAGCAATATTAAGGATGCTATTTCTGACTTCTCCAACTGAAAATGAAGGTTGCTTGGCTATCATGCTAATTCAAGCTTCATTACTGAGCTTCTGACTTAGGCATTTTGACTTGCTACTGATGTGTTTCCAGGTCACTGACTCAAACTACTGACAGCCAGGAGTGTCACAATTTTAGAAGTATTCAACTTCAACTGAGACAAGTAATATTTTCTAGAAAAGCTGCATCATTATCTTATTACAACTATTAATGCTACATTGTCACACTGCTACATTGTCATTAGCTACAACTTTCTAAAGCTCTCTCTAATTGCAGATAGAGCTCATAAGATCCTAGAAGCTGCATGCACCCCACTTCAGGGTTGACTTATGACACCCGAAGCAAAAAGAAAAATGCTGCCCATAGCAAACAATTAGCATCCATGTTTTATTGGAATAACTAAACCTGACTGGTTGCTATGGCCTAGTTCTCCTTGTTTTTTTATGAATCAGCCCCAAGTGTCCATACAGTCAGGCTCAGACTAGCCCACAGAAGGGCCACATGATCCCTTTCCCATCACTGTAATCTGAACACAGTGTTAGTAGGATGTAGAACATTGCTTTATGACCACCTGACAGCCAGCCTTTGCAATATTAAACCACTTCCTTTGGGGAGCCCAAGGCACTTCAGTCCTACTCTGCCTAAAGCTATACTTTACTTTGCAATGAGGTGCATAAATGGTAATGTTTAATTATACATATAAAGTATAATAACTCACTATGTATAGGCTAAAACACAATGACAAGCTGTTTTATAGTTACCTCCATATCCACAAGAATGATATTTTATGTGAAATAATAGGACTATTCAATTGCTATGACACTGTGACATTTTATGTCCGAGCAGCTATTAGCGAGATTTTTTCACAGATAAAAGAACTGCCCGTTCCATATGTATATGAATACGTCAGTGCCTGCAAGGCAAAAGTTGAGCATACAGCTCTAGCTGCTCACAATCAGTGGCCTCTAAGGAATTACATGCTCTCTCCCAAGACCTCAGATCTAAAATTACATTGTGTGGGAGGACAGTGAACCAAGCAATCCTTGTTCTAACTGTCCTGAGATCGCCACAAACTGCATTATGTTTTGACAACATCAAAGCTAGCAGTCTCTATAACAGTTCTTGTTAGGAAGCAAAAGAACACATCTTTTTCAATCTAATAGGAAAAAATGATATTTATTGTACAATATGATTCCGCTGGAAACTGATCCAAGTGAAATGTCTCTTTGAAAATGTATGTATGATTAGAGCCTTACAAAATGCTTAAAGCATTGTCACCATACGCTAAGGAGGCTGAGGCAAGCATAGTACTTCAGACGTATTGTGAGTTGGCATTAAAGAGAAACTAGAATGGTTTGCATCATTATTATTTTAATTTTTGTAAAGTTTACTATTTATCTTTTTTACCCTATATAGTCATTATTTGTTTTACAAACAAACATTTAATACATGATAAAGAATTCCTAGAGCACAAAGGGTTTTATAAAGAGAGTGGTAGTAGTCTCATTTCAGATTGGTCCATCTGAGTAAAACCTTGTGCACTGAGCTTATTTTTTCAGCTTCAGAAACTAATCACTGTTAACAACAAGCTTTTTACAGAACCTTGGTTACAAGAAACTGTAAAATGTGAAAAAAAAGCCTAACGTTCCACCTGCTGCTCTGATAAAGACTACATTTGCCAACCTAAAATGTAACTTTTAATAGCCAGCTGAAATAACAAAATGATACTCACTACAGTGAGGGTATTGTCCATTTTTGCACAAATATAATTAGTAATAATACGATATGCTAAAGATTAACCAACAAGTGTTATATTTTATTTATTTCAGCTCTTTTGGAAACAGAAGCACAAACATTTACTGCTAACTTAGCACTAACACTAAAATATATATATGTATAGTATATAAAAAGCTATTGTAAGATCTGAAAGAGTGAACAGTGGATATAACTAGTTTATCTTTTACAGCCATGCTAAATGGTGTGAACTCTTGACTTCTTCGTGCAGTATGAATAAACAGACTTTCAAGCTATGATATTTCATAGTTTGTTTTGGCAAAGACGTGCTGTGAATTCTTCTTCACTGTTTTGCTATGGCCCGGTGAAAACAGTACACTGGAGCACCATAGTAAGGCTAGATTTGTAACAATGCTTTCATATTCTTATTATCTGCAGACTAAACCTGGATCCAGAAGCTATTGGCTCAGTATGACAGCCAGGCAAATTTTTTTAGAGGTGAACAATGTCAGTCCCCATATTTCTTTCAGTACTGGATGACTTTTAATAAACCCGTATGGGCTTCATCTATGCACTGTGCATGTGTAGTAACACAGTTTTCTCTGTTCTAGCAGTATCCTCCTCAGAGCATTCAGTAACATCTGTCAGGCAAGCATTCATGGCATTGTCTCAGGACTTTCTCTAGAACCTTTAATATTAAATAAATATTGGTGGATTTTTCCACCAATTTGACCAAACATTAAGGGGACTATTCACTAAAGGGTAAAGCGTTTGGAGAATGCAGTAGAAGTGAACAATCTCGGACAACATAGCTGAACTGGAAAGTGAGCTGAATTGGAGAATTTTTCCAAATCAGCTACTTTGGCCTAGATTGTTCACTTCTCCTGCATTCTCCAAACTCTTCACCCTTTTGTGAATAGACCCCTAAAAGTGCAAACTGGCATTCACAATTTAAATCTTTATACCTGATCAAGGCAGTTGCTGCGAAGGTAGCGCATCGCTTGCTGAATACTCTGCGGTAAGGGTTGGCCGCTTCTCTGCACATGGACCATCAGTGGTACTCCAAAAACATTCTTATCCTTGTAGTCTGGACCCTTCATCCTCTTCATAAACTTTGGTACAGACCTAAAAATTAAATCATCAATAGAGTCATGTAGGCAATCCATTGTTAACATAACATAATAAAACATCTTGTGTTTATAATAGATAATTATCATACATACCATGTCCAGCCATGTTTGTTTGACATGGAGTATTTCTCCATAATAGCTGTCAGGCGAAGCAGTGAGAACTTCTGTAGTAGATTGAGCTGCCCTGCAGACTGGTTACCGATTTGAAGTGATGCCAGAGAATGGCTCAACTGGTGAGAGATCTGGAAACTGTGCCATCTTAGGCGCCTTAAACACACAAATATTGCAGATTAAATTAAGTTGATATAGTAAGTTGTCAACAAACATATCCAGCTACTCATATGTAAAGTAGAGTATCACTGTCAAAAAATACAGCATATGACTATTTGTGACCATGAGAGCTAACCACCCAGACACAGAATTTCCTGACATCCACTACTGTGATTAAAACAATTAAAAGTTACAGGCAAACCACTTACTATCTGAGAGTCAAGTTTATCCACATGCAGTCATGCAATCATCAGCTATCACACAAAGTTAATTGGAAATACCCTCAAACAATTGATTCTGCTTACTACAACAGCTACATGTAATGAGTTCAAAAACCTTTCTAGCACACCATCAGTTTTTGATTCCTGATTGGCTTTGAGTATTTACCAGCTTACTATCTTTCAAATTACATGATATGGCTAAGATAGAAAGTACAGGATGTTGTAGCTATATCTCATGATGTTCCATATATCAATGAACGACCTATGTATATCTTAAAGAATTTACCTTGTCCTTGTAAGGGATGCCCCCACTCCAGAATCTCTTCTTTCCCTTGTTCCCACTGTATCAGATTCATTGAGGGATGCAGCATCCCGATCCAGATCACTTGGAGTTGTTCTTCCATCAGAAATAGAATTCCCTTCGAAATCTAGAGCCGTTGGATTTGGCAAATGGTAAGTTGATGTTCCAGATTCCACAACCAATGAGTCATCATCTTGCAGTTCTGGCATAACATCCTTTGACCAGTGATCCACAGATTGCTGGAGTCCATTGATATGTTGCAATACATCATCTAAATGTGGAAAAAGATCATCTTTTTCCAAGTCCATGAGGTCACCAGTACTGGCATACAAGTGGGAGCCTGGAACATTGTCATACACACTAAGCCTGCTACCTCTTGGACACCGTGAGGATGGAACTTTTGGCTCTTTTAAACCGAGTCCCTTTTGCCTGCTCAGAGATATGCTTTCCCCTCGCCAGTTCAACCCACAGTGATTATCAGAAGGAGAGAGGCTTTCAATTGACAGAGCTTTTGGAAATGTCCCAGGTTTATGGTCTTTTGGAATATGAACCACCAGATCCTCTTGTGAATGAAATTCACACTTATGATTCTGCCTAGGTTTAGCTCGGATCCCAGCCACTGAGAAAAGATCAATATCCTCTAGGTACATACCTGATCGCTTGTTTGATTCAAAAACTTCTTTTAAATGTGAAGTGCTATCATTGACAGTTCTCATTTCTGATTTCAAATCCACATTTCCAGGTACCTTAATGTCTGTAGAAGAGTCCAATCCATTACCTATCTGAATACAGTTCATTGATTTGACAGCCGCTTGCTCCATTCGCAGAATAGGCTCGCTTATTATTAGGCCTCCAGTTTTTGGTGTTCCTTTTAATTTTCCTTGTGAGCCTTTGCCTCTGAGGGTCCCCATGCATTTCAGAAGATTCTTTGCTTTTGTGTGAGTATATCTCTCAGTCTTTGCATTCAGCTTACTGTCTAGGTATTCCTTTGGCCAGTATGGAGGTAAAAAGTTAACTGAGTTGGAGTCAGGTACGCACATGGTGTCACTGCATTCAAAAGTCTCTCTAGAAGCACTGTTTCCAACATATGAACATCTGCAGTCACTTCCACTGCTACTTCCGCTGTGAATGGAACATATCTCGGGCTCGCTGAGATCGGTCAAAACACTTTCACTACTGGTCGTGTTTTTCATGTCCCCGGATGACCCAAGAGTTTCTGATCGCCTGAACAGTGTATCAATGTCATCCACCCGAGACCATTGGCGACTGAGTCTTTGAAACGTCCATTTGTCACTGATGGCGCAAAGATCTTCTTCATCTGAATCTTCACTCTAAAATATATTAACAGAATTTGTTAAATTCTGATTTGTTTTATCCACATAAAATTAAATTCAGGGCTTTAGTCTATGATGCAACATTGGTTTTTACTGAACCAATATAGTTAGCAATTTAAAGACACATACTTGGTATACAAAGAGGTATACAAGGCATTACAATTTAGTACGAAATATGGAATCAATGTTAGAAATTATGATGGGTAAAATTTCAGACTAACTACACATGTTAACACTAGGGCTCCCAGGTTTTGGGCCTGGCTTAGAGAAGACACGTACTTACGTTTTGCAAACCCCCCCCCCCCCCAAATATGTTTTACTACTTGTTTTCTGTAATGAGTGCTAAGTGGGAGAATCCAGCTATAATTAATAACCTCAGTTTTATCATAAACTACAACCCTTCAGTTTAGCACACTGTGTAGGTAATTAAAGCTCTCAACATCATAATTGCATGACTGCATTGTTTATCCTGGTTGCTTGAGAACAGAGCCTATTTCCGTAGGGCATGCCATTTAATTCTATCACATATAAGTGCTAATTATCTGCAAATGTCGGTGTATAGGGATCTTTATATTTTTAGTACTGCCTTATAACTTCCTATTGTCTTACCAAGTAATATAACATTACCACCATATCCTAAAATTCTGATTCTAGAAAGTACATGACACCTCTACTCTCTTGACCACCATTACCAGCCACCTTTACCCCAAGCCTTTGTACAAATCAGGCTTTTCATAAACAGAAGTTAATCATTTTCATAAATATACTCAAATTTGGTTAAACTAGTGTATTTCAATGGTCATTGTAACATTCTAATTCACTGTCTACTTCATCTGTCATTTCACAGCTCTGACTGACAGACAGGGAAGGACGCATACAAAATCTAATTCACACCTGATCTGTACAGCTCTGGTAATGCTAATGAATGGTGCTCTTTTCTACAGAAAGTGAAGGCTGTTGTTTATCAGGAAACCAATGTTAGCCAACATCTGATCAATTAACAAGATGTGGTTTACAGTCCCCATAACAAATTAGATTCCCAAGATTTTTCTTGAAAGAGTACTGAAAGAGTCAATTCCTCAGAGAAAGATGTCAAGGTTTAATACTTGTCACTCTTCCAAAAATACTTCCAGTAATATTTCGTCACTTTGATATTCAGTATATTATTACAGCATTTTTCCTGGCAATGTTGTTCATATTTTTTTATTGGACAGCTTGAAAATATATGTCAAATATATACTGTACAAATAGAATATTTTCCCAATATTGAACCCTACGGACTAAGACTGGGATGCCATTAAAGTTCATATGAGTGTAAAAGCAGGAGTCCCAATACTTTTGGCAATATAGTGTATTTATGGATAATTTTTAGAAGTAGAAAAATATTTACATGTTTAAAAATATAACATTTTCACAGTCTGACAGCCTAAATCTTACTGATTGATGGTAAATAGCAATATTCATAGAACAACTTGTTTTTTTAAATGTAATTATATACATTTTACCAATTAACATATGTCAAATTATTTTTCCTTTTTCTTCTTTTGATCACAGTAACCTGAAAGAGGATTGGCTGCCATTAGTTACTGTCAAAAATGGCTAAACCAACAGCAAAGGTTCAGATCTGACCTAGACCAGGTGACTATAAATATAGTCGGCAATTATAGATCAATGCAAAGAAAGCAATCTGCTGTTTATTCCTTATTTTTGGAGGTGAAACTCCAGTCCTAACTTTTTTTGTTAGTGTTCGACAAAGTGGAAGAGTTAGTGCTTATGTCACTTTTATTGCTGTCTGTGTTCCTGCAGAGAAGACTTTCTCTTACTTCTTCTAAAGCAGTGGTTCTCAACCTGTGGGTCGCGACCCCGTCGGGGGTTGAATGACGATTTGCCAGGGGATGCCTAGCGGCTCCCGGCCGCCCGGGAGAGAAACACTTTCTCCCGGAAAGGTTTACTTTGCTCGAGCAGAGTAAACCTTTCTCTGCTCTGTTTTTTTTCTGACATCGGGGCCGCCGTCAGTCAGAAAAAAAAACAAAAAACCACCATAGGAATGCATAGCTAGATTCCTATTGGCTATTTCACTTTGCAATAGCCAATAGCAAACTAGCTATTGCACCCGCCCTCTGCTGCTGCCAATCAGCAGAGGGGGACCTGAAGTTCTCCATCAGGTACCCTTCTAGTGATTGACAGCAGCGGAGGGCGGGTGCAATAGCTAGGGGTCATATAATAGTGAAATAGCCAATAGGAATCTAGCTATGCATTCCTATGGTGTTTTTTTATTTTATTCTGACAGCGCACACATAGCACAGCTGGCCCCGCCCACCCCAGGAGCTGGTCACATGACTGTGACACACCGCAAGGTCCTCCAGCATAGTAGAGTGTGGAGGGAGGAGTACAGACTGGAGAAGGGGAAGTAAGTATATCTTATCAGGGGTAACTCTCACGGTTTACACTGAACTCTATGGGCTGCTCTGTCAGTGACAGTACTGCGGAGTATGTACCTCATAGCCACACACTTTAACTCCAATTATTCTAGTTCCAGGTGCAGAGCCGGTCCTGTCTTTGCCTATAGCAGTGGTTCTCAACCTGTGGGTCGCTGTGGGATTTCTGCTGTACTAGGTGAGAGTCCTCCTCAGCCCTCTCCTAGCGCAGCAGTGCCAGTTCTCCTGCCACACATCCAGATGCCGCTGCAGCAGCCGCGTCATCCCGAAATTTTACCGTTGGGGGTCACCACAACTTGGCAAATGTTACCAAGGGGTCTCGGCCCTAGAAAGGTTGAGAACCACTGTTCTAAAGGCAAGGAGACAGGAAGTGAAGCAAAATCTCTCCAGCTGGGGCACACACAGCAATACAAACCTGATGGAGGCTCTAGTGATTTCCTAGTCTAAAGTTAAAAACATTTTCATGAGTTGTACAATTAAATATAAATTAAAAATCAGCATATATTACCCCTATAGCATAAGTCTGGCAAGTGTACAGCCTCTTTCTATATATTAATACTAATCTGTATAGCTGTCAGCATCAGGCCAGTGTTATCAAACAAAATGGCCCAAGAAAAAAATTCCATGTTACAATGTTTCCTATAAGCAAGGAATGTATACTAGCTTTATTGCTCCAATGTTAATGTTGAGTTGCCACTGATGACTGTGGTTTTTAAGGTGCAGACAACAGGGCTGTCATTCTATCTTCTCTACTATGCCTGGGTCACTAAACACAAATTGTCAACTGAACGTTTTCAGGCGCACAACTTAAAGCAATAATCAGTGCTGCACTGATTTTGATGGATGACGCCATCAGGATCAATCTAGGAATGCATAGTTTGTTATTAGAACATCAAGTGGTTTATGCAAAGCAAATTTAATGAGCCCATACTGTATAGGGAACTTGTGACTTGTTGCCTGAGAAAAGAGTCCCTTAGTGACTCCTAAATGTCGCTTATAAGCGTTCCTTAAACTTACTTTGGACAAGCCGCTTGGTGTACTGATGACAAATTACACATTCTCAAACTAAACACAAATGGTCAACTGATGCCATTCATTAAGCCTATGAAGCAGGGAAGGGGGGCATATGCTGTAGCCGTCTCTGGTAGTGGCTTATCAGTTGGAAAACAATAGCAATGAGACAATGTTTTCTAACTTGTATAATTGCTAGTTACTCCCTCCCCTCCAACCACCTACACACAACAAGCCTCAGCTGATTCTGTCTGTGGGTAACATATAAATATTCGATTGTCCCCCCAATTGTCCAACAGGCTGATTTAGGATACTGACATCTAATATCAATAGGCATCTTTGCCTTTGAACTTGCAGGCAAATCTGACTAGTCCGTATTCTACCACAGCTCCCTCCATCTTTGCATGTCAATGCCTTCCCAGGAGCATATTAAGAAAACTGCAAAATAGATTTTGGATGAAATGCTCTCTAGTTAACAAATGTCTAGTTCCTTACTAGCATCTGAATATTTCTGCAAAAAAAAAGATATATATATTTTTTTTATCTCACAGGTAAATCCTAAATGTTACTATATTAGTCCTATATAGTCCCAGAGGTAGCCACTGCACTCTATTTGAAAGGTAAATGTCCAGGTGCACATCTACAAAAATATCCATACAAATCCAAAGCAGAAATAGAGCCACTCAAGGGCTTTGCAGCGGAGGTAAATGAAAGCATCAGCGTTTTATTGTCGACGTTTCAATGGAGCTCAGTCCATCTTTCTCAAAACACTTGAGATGGACTGAGCTCCATCAAAACGACAAACAATAAAACGCTGATGCTTTGACTTATCTCCGCAGCAAGACCCATGAGTGCCTTTATATATGTATATATATATTTGGAACCCTCAGTAATGTTTTACACAAAAGCAACATGACAGGAAATATATTGCTATATGTTTCAACAGACAGTAATTAATCTTATGTAATTCCTTGCTAAAGTAAATCTAAAACCATTTTTTTTTTTTAGATTTGAGTAGGAAGTTATGTGAGGTTTGTATTGCTGTCTTTGTCTCTGCTGGAAAGATTCACCCACTCGGTTTGTTCAGTGACCATTGTTACTAAACTGAAAGTAAGGGAATAACTAACATTTTGAGTAATCACCAGGAATAGAGGCAAAATCTTTGAAAGGGAACACTTTCAGGTGACATCTGTCTAGGAGAGGATTTCCCTTACTTTGGATAGATTTCCATTCACATCTTGTTGTGTCTCAAACTAGGAAGTGAAGGAAAATCTCAATTTGGCAGAGACAAAAAAAAATGATTGTTAGGGACTTTAACAATTCCCTACTGTATCCACAATATAAAAAAATGGCTTTAGCAATACTGACATCCAAGTTAAGTTTAGTATAACTGCAGAAATTAGAGGCAGTTACAATTTTGTTGTACAGATAGCAAAATGAAAATGAAATAAGTATTTTATTACCTTCTTCCGTTGGAGGCTGACATCGAGTTTCATGGATGCACACTTGTTCAACGTGTTCAGTCGTCTGTAAGCAAAGACATAGCCTTGAATTACTACCTGACTGATGGACGACAAGGATCTCTTGCGTTTGCCAACCTTCCAGTCCTTCCAAGGCTGGCCTCCCATATTTTCTTTGGCCTTAAAGGGATATATCCACGTTTCTTTAGAGTAACTTGGCGGAAAAGGCTGCTGCCATTTAGCCTAGAATCCTTTGCAAATGTTTACCTAGTAACTTTATAATCACTTGGCACTTCTCCAACCTTTCTGAGAATTGTCTTGTGTATTCTGAGCTAGCCTTGTATTAATGGAGCCAGTGGGAGGAGCTTTATCTGAAGAGGATCCAATAGGGGCCACTTATCATCTGTCCAAAGGCTACTCCCTCCAGCCAGACACATATGGCCCTGGAAGGTAATGCATTTACAAGTCAAAATACTAACTCTAACTATCCTCTAAGTAGCCCCTTAATTAGATCACAATTTTTTGGGGGGAAAATCATTTGTGTTCAGCTAAGCCTGTCAGTCTTTTTTTGTGTCTTCTTAGCATATCTATAGTAGTTATCTGCAGCTACTGAGCCTATTCATTGGCAAGTTCATACCAGATTGCACGTGCATGCAAATCATTGCAGCAGATTAAGATTTCATTTACTTGGAATGATTGTGGATTAAGTTGAAAAATGTCTTTTATATCAGATCTTGTTTATCTTTTACTTCATGGAGATTTACATTTGCTATATAATTAAATTTAAGATACCCAGATAAACTATAACAGGTAATGTATAAAAGTTGACCACATTATCCTCATTTTAAAGAGTAAATTAATCTACACATGGAATCGTATAATGAGTGAAGGAACCCTCAAGGAGGTCTTATCATTTTGGAAGGAATGATTCTATCCTTCAAGGAGACATGACAACGAACAATGGCCATGGTAGATGAGCCTTCCCTTAGTGCAATAAAATGTATAAACTCTTCTAGCTCATTAGATTAGTGTTTCAGAACTTAGTTGTGATCTGTTGTGATTGTTTTCACTCCAATGTCCTACTACTAAGCCAGAATCATTCATTCTATGTGACAATATGACCCCATGAATGCATTTAAAAGCATCAACTTTTATAAACCCCAACAGACAAATCTAGTAGCAACATTGATTCTCCAAATGATCGCTGAACATCTAAAGCATAGTTTCTTCCTTATGGATCAATGTCTTAAAGTGAAATACATGCACAGTGAAAGTTTGCTTTTAATTTACATTAATCTACATTGTATAATCTACAATTATAGAATTGTAATTAAAACAACAGATTTCTGTTACGTCTTACACATGTTTGCAGTGTGATCTATGGTAACGACCTGGAAACCAGGGATCGGTGAATCTGCCCTGGTTCGATTTGCGAGGGGTTCAAAGTGTCCTGCTTGAAATGCGCAAAACCTGAACTCAGCACCTAACCCTATTCAAGTCTATGGCAGGTGAATCTTGTTAGTAAGTTCTGGTCATTTTCAGGGCTAATAGGCATGGGAAGCTGGTCTTTTCATGCAGCTTTGGGAACAAATAAATTATACAAAACCTTTGAATAACATGCTTGTGGCATGTCTTAAAGCTGTATGTGGTGTTATTATAATTATACAGGATTTATATAGCACCAACAGTTTGCGCAGCTCTTTACAATATAAGAAAGACATTACAATCACAATACAGTTCAAGACAAGATGGTAAGGAGGGCCCTGCCCCTGAAGGCTTACAATCTAATACAAAACAATATGATTATACAGTAGTCAGACCTATGATGGTAGATGGATTGTTCATGCACAGGGGCACTGGTCTGGGCATGCATGTTCAGTTCAGACAAATGTGCCTATTTCACACCCCATGCACAACCCCTGGCTACAGGGGAACAATAACAGAATCCAGAATCCATAAAAAAAAACACAACCCACCAATAAGCTGTTCAAAAAAAATCGAGGGGTGTCTAGACTGTTTTAGGTACCCACTAATGTAATGTAATGATTGTCACCCCATCCACCTTGAAGTCCTCCAGATAAGGTGATAATGCTACCTATGAGTACCTAAAACGAGCTTTGTAAGGCATGTTCTTGAAGCACTGGTGGTGTTTATAGAGTACTAGTGTACTGTTAGTATTCTTGGTAAGCTTATGTTCCTATAATAGTAGGCAATATGGCAGTTTCAGTGACACAGCTAATCTTCAGTTTAATTACGGTACATAAATTCTCATCTTGCAATACACCATTTTATAATATTATGCTCACCACATATGGCCATTTAGTGGCCACATTAGGGAACATTTATATATCTCTAGGCCGTACCCAACCACAGTAGACATCCCTTTGCCAAGTTTGTATGGGGATGGGGGGAATCTAATGGCAGGGATTTTATTCCCCTGCATGCTAATGTGCAGGCCTAGATCGCGTTCTTTTATTCTTGGTAAAAGGATCTTGGATACATTTCAATCCACACGCACACTCCAATCTGTACAGTCATAACAGAATGTGTACAGCAGCACCTGGTTAATCTCTGCACTGACAATGAAGAACAATGGAGAATCATCCAAAAACATAATTTGTTGTGATGGGATCTCATCCAGTTGAGCTGCAAACTGAACTACATACAACACATAGTCCCAAGCTGATGTTCTACTCTTCTGGACAAGAAATATATAAATCTAGCTGTGCTCAATCAGGAACTGTATCCATAGTACAGGCAGATGTATATCAATAATACAGAAATGTTACTAACTAGAGGTCTTTATTAGACAGACTGAAGGTAAAAGAGAATAAAAAGGGAATGGAAGCTAGAAAACCAAAACATTTGTCAATGTGTCTGGGGGCAGAATTCATTTAGACAGTCTGAGTTGTTTATGACAACCAATCAGAATCTTCCTTCCATTTTGTCAGACCTGTGCAGGAAAATAGATAGAACATAAAAATGAGTTTGTAATGGGTGACACAGGCAGTCAATAGGGCCCATTTATAATTAGTTTGGATATTGCAATCTGCTTTCAATGACAGCAGGCCATTTATAAAAATGTAGGCTGTGATGTGGCGCCTCTGGTGTCCTGCAGAATTCACTCTGCTAAACGCAGCATAGACAGAGATGGGCACATGTCTTTAATAGGTCATGTGACAGTTTTTTTTCCCTTTTATTCTCATTCATTTTACAGCATTAATAACATAAAACACATTCTGCTTTAATAAATGTGCCGGGTTTTATTGTTAAGTATGGACACAGCTAATTTCCTCAGGTTAACTAAACGTTTATATAAGCTTTACATATTAAAGTTGTTGTTCATTCATGTAAATGTTAAAATGTTTATTTTCAATCTATTTAAATATGCAGCTTTCATTAAAATAATACCTAATGAGCCTTCCATGAAGATCCAGACCCATCCTTTTATGTGGTGACAACAGTCTTCCAACTGTGCTCATGTGTGTCACCCTGTTACAGTATAACTCCCAAATTACCCTCATTGGGAAGGACAGTCACTCTTTTGGAACCAAATCCCTCTGCCCCACTTTCCTCCTCAATTGTCCCTCTTTTTAGACTGATGTGTAGACCTCTATACTAAATGTCACACTTAACCTCCCTGGCGGTCTGATTATTGTATTTTTCTTTTCCTTTTTTGTTCGCTTTTTTTTCCGTTTTTTTTTTTTTTTACTTTTAAAATTCCCGGCGGTTCCGCCCCCGCTGCGACGCGGACGCTCGCAAGGGACGGAACCCGGAAGACAGATGCCGGCATCGTCCGGAGGACACAGCGGGGATCATGGACGAGGTAAGAGACGCTACGCTGTAATTCCGAGTGTGGCTCGGGGTTACCACTTATGGTGCTGAAAATTAACCCAGAGCCACACTCGGGAATACTGCCAAGGAGGTTAAAGTGACACACTCAGGAGTTAAATCTTAAACATGCATTCAAATACCTTAGCCATTAACAAAATGTATCTTATTTGTGTATCACTCGGCTGTGGATTATCAAATCGTCTCTGAATTGGTGCTGACACTGTCCTTCCTTCTGGGGGGTGACTACTTTTGTTCCCCATTGTCCCTGTGTGTGTTGTAAAGTAGTCACCGCTCCAAGCTCCCTCCTGCGATGGACTACAATTTCAATACAAATTAGTAAACTAAACGTGAGATTGTAGTCCAACATGGGAGTGAGCTTGGAGTTATGGCTAAATTACACACAGGGACCATGAGGAACAAAAGTAACCACCCTCCAGAAGGAAGGACATTGTCAGCATCAATTCAGAGATGATTTGAGGATTTTTAAGATTTCACTGAGTCTAGTTTCCCTTTAACAACCAAAAGTGTTGCTCTGCACTAAACTTTTTACACAAACCTTTTTATTATTCAATTATTTACAATTCATTATTAAAACAAAACAGCCATACAGTGATGAATAAAGCACTTGTGGGTTAAGCCAATCATTTTTGCTTATTAACTCCTCATAACTGGGGGTGTGGCAGGGGGTGTGTCCTTTGCCTACTTACTTTATGCTAAAGGGTGTCCCTCTTTCCCATCTCAGAAAGTTTGGAGGTATTTTGCAGTCACCCCTTCTGGAGGCTACTAGCAGTCATGCCGACACACATTTCACAATCATGGTCCACTGTTATGACCATCAAGAAGTTGTAAAATAGATTTATTAAGGATTAAACACACAGCTGAAAAAGTACTTACAAACGTGTTTCTGAGGACAAACCTCTTTCATCAGAACCTGGCAGGTTCTGATGAAAGAGGTTTGTCCTCAGAAACGCGTCAACTGAAGGAGGGTCAGCGTGCAGATGGCTTCGGCTTAGTACTAGCACTTCCTTTCCCTCATCCTTTTTTTCATGTATTCATCTTGATGGTCTCCTGAGATTATATCGCTTTCTGCTCGTTTATACAAGCTGGTTTGTAAGTACCTTTTCAGCTGTGCGTTTTATCCTTAATAAATCCATTTTACACTATCGAGACGCTCCTTTTGCTTTGTCCTCATCAGATTTTCGGTTTCCCTTGACTGTGAGGAGCTGCCCCCCT